AGGTGGCTCGGGCATCTGGTTAGGATGCCTCCTGGACGCCTCCCTGGTGAGGTGTTCCGGGTGAGGCCCCGAGGAAGACCCGCTGGAGAGACTATGTTTCTCGGCTGGCCTGGGAACGCCTTGGGGTTCCTCCTGAAGAGCTGGAAGAAGTGGCTGGGGAGAGGGAAGTCTGGGCCTCCCTTCTTAGGCTGCTGCCCCCGCGACCCGACCCCGGATAAGCGGAGGAAGATGGATGGATGGATGGATTTACATATTTTGTTAAAAGGGCAAATAAGGAATTCAAACCAAAAAAAAAAAATTTCTGTTTTGCTTTATTCTTGGATCAGGCTTAAAATTAACACAAATGTGTTGTTTTCTGATTAAACAGACAGAATCAGACTGCAGAGCTTCTAGATATCTTGTAATTCTGTTTCTGGCTTCATTATATTAGTAAATAGGTTCAGAGCACAGAGAGAGAGCTGCAGATTTAAAGGTGAAACAGATTTACTGGGATATGCAACATGCAATAAAATATATCTCCAAGTTTACCAGAAAGTTTACAAGGAAAAAATATGCTATCCTATATTTAATTAAATTCTATTCAGTTTATTTCTACAGCGCCAATTCACAACACACACTTTACAGTTCACCCAGATCATCCAGTCAAATTGATTCAAATTTATATTAAATTCAACATATCTTTTTGTCATTTGTACTTCAGTGAGACTCATAAATAGCTGTGCCAGCCAACCAATAGAGAGCCAGAGTCACAGGACACCCAGTGAAAATTAAAATATAAGAAACCTACAAGAATTAAAACAAAAAATAATAGAGTAAAAATCAGTATAAATAATTTTAGAAATATAACTGTTAATACATGGACTTTGGCTGTAAACGATATGTAGGATGAATTTAATTTGATGTTGGTGCTTGTGAAGGAGAATCACTGATGCCGCTTTAATATTTTCTCTTTATTCATACATCAGGACACCAAGAAAACTCACAATTCCTTCAGGAAACAACGATTTTGCATTTTTTTGTAGATGAGTTGAAAAAACCTTGTCTGGTAAACGTCCCTAAAATGACATGCGATGGTAACAAAGACCCTTATTAACCTCTACTATACAAAATACAGTCTAGAGCCCCTGTCACACCTTGACGTTTTAGACCATCACATGTCTGACGTACGAAAACTCTGGCAAAAAACCTTGCCATAACCTTGGATACATTATGGGTACTTTTTGTTTAAGTTATGAGCACGCTGACACACTCTGGCACACGTCGACATACATCGACGTACCTCGAGAAATTTAGTGTGTATGCCAGCGTATGCCATACGTCGCCCATAAGTGTAAGTTACTAATAAGTCATGGCGTCTAGCTTAATAGTAACGTGTGCATAACTTATAGGTAACTTATCAAGAACTTCTCTCCAACGCGGATCCTTCATGCGTTTTGATTTTTTTATATACTTTTATTTTTACAGGCAAGTCATTAAGAACAAGTTCCTACTTACTGTGGAGGCCTGACAAGTGCAGTAACTACTTGGGAAAAGGGAAGTAGGACTAAAACAAATGCAATATATTAGTAATACATACATAAAATACAAACACAAGAGCTAATACGACAATGACCAACAAACTTCCTTGCAGACATGATGCTGAATCTGCTTCACCTGCAAACTCCCTTTCTTTTTTATTTTTATTTACTCTTGTTTCTTTTGGCGAGTGGTAAACAGCGGCTAGGTTAATACTGCGATTAAAGAAATCTTTTTATGCAGACCAGGAACCTCCGGGCACATCGCTTCCCCCCTCAGGACACTGGCTTTTGCATCATTTCATGGGCATTACGCTGCCGTACGTTATGCATACGTTAGGCTGTGGTTGGACAGAAGTACTAAAGTCGTTATTAATACTCTATGTATACGACCAGAATTTTAAAAAATACATAGAAAGTCCAGCGTACATCAGGGTTTTAGGAGATTCTGGGACATCGATCACATGTGGATAAATCGTCAAGGTGTAACAGGGTCCTTACATAAAAACTTGTCTTGAAGTCAGCAGCGTTGATCTCAATTACAGAAACTGTAGAGAAACCAGTCAAACAAGAAATTCAGCGTTTCAGCCAAACACAAACATAAACCTTTCTGAGAAATATGGCAGATATGTAGGTCAACATGGTCGTTTAAACGGACCAGCAACAAGAATTTTCTAAAAGGGTTTGAAAACATCTTTTCCTTTTTTAGTTCTAATGAAAGTTTGCTTTGACTTTACAGCAGCTCATCTCACTAATTAAACATGATATTAAAATATAATTCAAACTTTTATAATCTCCATTACATTCTACATTGAGATTAAAAGAACCAGAGAATCTTCTGCATTTAAAGCTCTTACATTTTGAAGGTCAGGTGGAATAAAAGCGTTTATGCATAAATGGTTGCCAAGCAGCATTGTCCTTGTCTTATGGTTGCATCACGTCTCATGAAATGCTGCACGCTCGCCTCTCTGAGGCTTTCTTCACCCGCTCCTGTATCCACTCGTTTATTTCGTCCTGATGCCTTTTCTGCAGCTCAGTCATGCGGTTTTTGATCTGCAGCTCACTGTTGAAACAAAGCGATGATCTCAGAGCCTTAACTTCCTCCTCCTGCTTTTTCTGCAGCTTTTCAAAGTTTTTCTGGTGAACTTTGTTTGTATTCAGCTGCTTGATCAAAAGTTCAGTTTGTTTTTCATGCTTCAGCTTCAGGTCCATTAATTCTTTCCCGTATTTCTCCAGCTCAGTCGAGACATCAGAGGTATATTTGTGCCTGAAATCGTTGCATTGTTCCGCTTGTTTTCTGGCGTCCTCATAATTTCTCCTCTCTATCTCCTCTACCTGCTTTCGGAACATTTCCTGGGCTTCCTTCCAGTCTCTCTCCTCTTGTTCCCTCCGAAGTTGTTCCTCCTCTCTCCTTTTTAATTCATATCTGAGCTTTTCCTCTTCATGTTCTTCTCTGAGCTTTTGGAGGCGTTGCTGCTCACCTTCTTGCCTTTGCTTTTCGTCTCGATATCTCTTCTCCCACCATTCTGTCCTTTCCTTCTCCCAAGCTTCTCTTTCCTTTCTCATTTCTTCTCTGCTTTGCCGTAATAATGCTATCTCTGGTAACGTTGATCCAACTGGTCCCTGATTTACCTGCAAACATTCAACTTTTTGATCCCACTCATATTGTTTCATCTCATCTTTCCTTTTCTTTTCCATCTCCTCTTCTTTTCTTTGTTTCCTTTCCATCATGACCTTCTCTTCCTCCCTCAGTATTTTCTCCTCTTTCTCCTTGACTCTCCGGGCGCTCTGTTGGGTTTCTTGTTGAAATCTGGCTTGCCTTTTTTTAAATGTTTCACTCCTATTTAGCATTTTGTATTCAAGCTCTTTTTTAAAGTCTTCCTTCTTTTTCTGCAGTTCCTTGTCCTTCTCTATCAGTAGTTTGTTTGTTTCCCTCTGTATTGCTTCCTCTGCCTCTGTAAAGATGGCTGACGTGTAATATTCGCCACCATTTTGCTGTATCATCGTCTCAACTCTGTCTAGGAGCTCTCGAACCTGAGATCGATTGGTTTGGTCATTGTTGTTAAAGACTTGGTACCTCCCTCCACAATCCCTAATCAGCTGTTTGACATATTCATCGCTTTCGTTTAGGTAACTATCAAATGTTTGATTTTTAAGATCGTCCCCTCTGGTGAACACGACAATGATGAAGTCTTTGGACTTCTCAAAGAATTCCTCGATCAGCTTCACAGTGTCTTTTTCTTCTTGAGTAAAGCGTCCGATCTGCAGGACGAGCAGGAAGACGTGGGGTCCGGGTGCCAACATGCTGATGCATTTGATTAGCTCTTGCTTAACTTGGTCATTTGAGAGACAGGTGTCAAATAACCCTGGCGTGTCCACCACGGTTACAAGACGGCCTTCGGCCTCTCCCATCTCTTTTTGGCAAACCTTTGTCACCGATCTTTGACTGACTTTTGATGAGAAGCATTCTCTGCCAAGGATAGTGTTTCCAGTTGCACTTTTACCACAACCCGTCTTACCGATCAGCAGTAGCCGTAGGGGCTCTTCACTCTCTGGCATTGGCAGGGGAGTTGGGTTTTGCTTCATCTGAGGTCTAGAGTCCTGCAGAGGACTCTCCCTAAACATTGCACTCCCTGTCCTGTGTAGACTCAATTTCGCAATTGGACGGTCGCGACAACTAAACGTGTTACTCTTTTTAAGCTTTTGCGGCTTGGGGAACATGTTTTTGGTAAAACTTTTCTGTCCTACATTTGTCATTACTTGGACAAAATGCAACACCTCATGGATCTGCTGCTCTTCCTGGGTGTTGAAGACCATAAACTGTTTGTTACATTTCTGACAGATTTCTTGAATATCTCTGTTTTCCTTTAGAAAATTCAGAAGTTTAGAGGAATTGAAAATTGCCTCTACAGCAAAAAGAATCATGGTAAATTCAGTGATTCTAGAATCAAAGATTTTCTCAATGGTTTCCAGCTCTTTTTTATCTTCTTCATCAGGGCAGTCCAATGGTAGGACCAGAATGAAGGCATGGACACCCTCTGGCTCACAGAGGGAAAGACTTCTATAGGATTCCTTCATTGCTGTTTCCATTGGTGTTTTATACAGAGCTGGTAGCTCCACTATGGACACCTGGCGCCCAAAGACCGAGCCCTGATTTCTAACATCCACTGAATCACCAAACGCACCGCAATAACTGTCCCTCAGGATGGCACGAGCTACGGAAGCTTTCCGGGATGTATGTCTTCCACAAAGGACCAGGTTCAGATGGGGCTTCACAGATTTTGGCTCACTTATTAGTTCCATGTCTTCTGGAAATGTTAAATATCGCCCCTTGTTCTCTCTCACGATATTTTCTATCCTTTTCATCAGTCCTTGTAGTTCATTAACAGAGTACTGTCTTTGGTGGAAGTTCATTTTGTGGATCCTTTGTCCACAGTCTGCGACGAGTTGGTTTATGGTAAAACTCGATCCCTGATCGTCTTCGGATGTTATGACAATCGCACAATTAAAAGCTTCTGTCCCAAAAAAACTCAGGACAAACTTTAGATTTTGCCTGTCCGACTTGGTGAAGTCTGACGGGTTCGCGAGCAGCAGCAGGACGTTCGGTCCTGGTGGGCAGAGAGCCACGCACGTCTTCATGTCATGACTGACTCTTTCCACAGGCAGACCGAGGATATCTCCCGTTTTAATCAGGGTGAAGGTTTTTCTCCTCCATTCTCCATACAACACGTCAAAAGACTTCTCTTTTTGTGAAGAATAAGGCGTTCCGTCTGTCAAGAAATTACTGAGGGCTGTTTTATCATCTTCGTTTTTACCAAGAATCACAATCCTCAGATCGGTTACTGAAAAGAGAAATAAAAATGATTAATTGAGTTAGGTTTTTCAAACAGTTGCAGGGTTTCTTCAACATGCTGAAGCATAATTCCTAAAAGCATTGTCTTATTGACATATTGTGCCATCGCAGATACCTAAATATAGCATATCCACATATTATGGAATCATTGCATTAGCTTTTTAATAGCCCAGTGCAATATAACATTGGGCCGGAGTTGCCTAGTGGTTACAGTATGGTGCTTGCTTCAAGTCCGATGGTTAGAATCCCACCTGCTACCAGTCTTGGTCCCTGGGAAAGCCCCTTACTGCCAGAATGCTCCCCAGGCGCTACACTGGGGCACCCCATTGCTCTCTTATCCCCTTTCTCCCTGAAAAATCCATTCATCCTATGAATAATCTAGCCTCGTGAGACCATCCTGATCTCGCAAGCTTTCAAGGTTTCACTCGCTAATCAGTCTGGAGACTCTCTGTTGAAGAAAATTTTGAGCCGTTCACCAAACGAACGTCCAATCAGCGTTGGCTTTGAGGCGGGTTGAGGTGTGACGCAACGAGAAGCGCGACAGTTCAGTCTAA